CATCACTGAGATTTGAACTCTAGACCTGCCACTTGGGGGTTGACAACCTATCCACTTCACTAGGTCGCCACACCCCCTATCTCTTATATTGTTGTTTCTAAAATAAAATAGAATTATATAGAAAAAGTATCATTTAATACTTTCAATAATAAAACTATATGATCTTAAGATAACCTTGATGATGAACTAGTTAGTATAAAAGAAAAGTATACAAAAACAAAACCAAACTCAAGAAAATATATTAGAGTCGATTAATTATTTTTTTTCACTTTCATTTCCTTTTCTGCTTCATCTTTATATCCTCTTCGAAAACATCAAAAGATGTTATTTAATCAGCAAATAATATGTTTTTAGAAGTTGCTTTACAAGTTAAAAATAGAATACCTATTATTCAAGAATCTAATAATGATGATACTGGGTTAATTGATCAACTGAATGATAATCAGATTGATCAATAATAGATTACTATTTTTTTGTCTTTTTTTTTATTTTTATAAATTTCAAAAATTATTATTATAATATTTCTTTTGTTTTGTTATTACCTTTTTTTTTTTTTTAATATATAAAATAATATTTGCAGTCGACTTTAGATACAATGAACCTTTATATAACAATTTCTATATATGATAAAAAAATTTAAATTTTCGTAATAGTTCAGTATAAAAGATATTAAATTATTAAAAAAATTATTAACTTTTTTTTTAGAATTGCTGGCTCATTATAGAATAAATGAACTATATTTGTTATTATTAATTAAATATTTTATTAAATAAATATAAAAATATCTTTTAAGAGGATGGTGATTCTAGTGTAGTAGTTGGGTTGTCATCCTCCAAGTGGCAGGTCTAAGGTTCAAATTCCACCTACGATGAAATTTGGAATTTATATATGTGTTACAGTATCTGTTTCCTGTCGATCGATTGGCCTCATGTGGCTGTTACCCAGGTACACCAGGCTGGGTCCCCTTGGCTTTGGAAGCACAAGACATCTATGCAAAGTGTAACATTACATCTACATAGAGGAATGTTAACCAGTGTTGCATAAGACTTCAGTGCAAACTCATGATAAGACTACTGGGCATAGAAGACTAAGGAACCAAGGTAACAGAAACCCACTTTGAAATTCCTGAGTAAAGAGGTAGCATGAACTTTCAATGGTACTATCGGACCGGTTGAAGCCTATGAAACACCTTTATAGGAACTGAAGATTAAAACCAGATGACAAATATGTATAGAGGAGCATATAACCAACCAGGCTGCTGGGTTTGCCAAAGGAAAAAGATACAGAAGTATACTATATCAGACCATCTGAATTGGTAGTCTAGATAAATGAGACTGACAGTTCTGAGTTGCAGCTAGTAGTGGATGATGGAGAAGATGCTGAAAAGATGGGTACTGAGGTTCTAGTAAACTTTACAAGAGTAGAAATAGTGTAACATAGCGGTTAAACAGGTAACCCCTGTAACTGCAAGTGTTAGGTAACTATAGCATGTTGCATAAAACTAGGT